CTGCATAATTTTTAAATCAAATGTATGTTAACTGTAAAGTGTATGTTATACTTGTACAGTAAGTGTATGGTTATGGATGTATGGTTAAGAGAGATTTTGGAAAAGAACAAATATTTAGACTTACAGTATGTATCATATCAAAATTGAAACACATTAGAGCATCGTTTATCCGAATAAATTGGGGACTGGGGTCATTCGGATAACTTATTTTTCGGATAACCGATTATGTACGAAAAAATATATTAACCTATCCCATGTTGAAATTTTTCTCCGTTGCATGTCACTTCACGTTGAATTTTCGTCGATGTTAAGCCTAACGTAAACTTTTTAAAATAATAATCGTGGCTATTGTATCGTTAAAAATTATTTCTTTATTTTGTACAAAATAAATATATTGAAAAATATAAAAACCAAAAAAATATACTTTAGAAGTTGATCTAGTATCAAAAACGTTTGATTCAGCACCACACACAGTCCTCAGAAAAACATCACACAAAAGTGCCAGTGCTGCCAGCTAAAACAAACACACCAACAAAAAAAATATTGGAGTAGCCCAAGATATAGCCAAAGATTGCAGCACCACAGCACTAGCGAAAATTTAAATTTGCTGATTGGAATCCTTTTGGATAACCGACTTTCAGATATACGACGCTCTACTGTAATAGCTATTAGGTAGTTCGGAAAGTAAGTTCATTTTTTTACCACTAGAGGGATTAGTCGTATTTTTCCTGCCATTTTCATTCTAGACCATATTATCATTATATATTTTGACAGCTAGCATTTTAAGGCTTATTCGTAAAAAATTTTGTTTAATTTCGTGCAATTGTTTATTTTTTGTGTCCCATCAAATATGGAAGATCGGAAGCAGCATTTTCGGCATATTCTGCTCTTTTATTACCGAAAACGTAAGAATGCTGTTCAACCAAGAAAAAAATTGTGTGACGTGTACGGAGAAGATGTATTGACAGAACAACAGTGCCAAAAGTGGTTTGCAAAATTTCGTACTGGCAATTTTGATACTGAAGATGCACCACGTTCTGGAAGGCCAATTGAAGCTGATGAAAACAAAATAAAGGCATTGATTGAAGCAAACCACCGAATAACAACAAGAGAAATCGCTAACAGATTAATTGTCCAATTCAACCATTTACGACCACTTGAAACAACTTGGTTTTGTTTCAAATCTTGATATATGGGTTCCACATGTTCTTAAAGAAAGAGATTTGCTCAATAGCATTAACATCTGTGATTTGCTTCTCAAACGTCAAGAAAATGATCCATTTTTGAAGCGAATCATAACTGGTGACGAGAAATGGATTGTATACAACAATGTCAAATGCAAGCGATCATGGGGTAGAAAAGATGAGCCAGCTCAAAGCACTTCAAAAGCCGATATTCATCAAAAAAAAGTGATGCTCTCTGTTTGGTGGGATTTTAAGGGAATTGTATTTTTGAGCTTCTACGAGACAATTCCACAATTGATTTGAATGTCTACTGCCACCAACTGGTCAAATTGAGTGATGTTATCAAACAGAAAAGACCAAAACTGATCAACAGGAAAGGTGTAGTGTTTCATCATGATAATGCCAGACCTCACACAAGTTTGCTAACTCATCAGAAGTTGTTACAGCTTGGATGGGATGTGTTAATCTGGCACCCTCGGATTATTACTTATTCCGATCTTTACAAAATTTTTTAAATGGTAAAACATTTACTTCAAATGAGGATGTCAAAAATCACTTGAATCAGTTTTTTGCAAGCAAAGATCAGAAATTTTATGAGCATGGAATCATGCTATTACCAGAAAGATGACAAAAGGTATTGGACCAAAATGGTCAATATATAATTGAATAAAATATTTATATATTATAAGAAAGTTGATTTCTTTTTCATGAAAAAAAAACGAACTTACTTTCCGAACAACCCAATAGTATGATTAATAGTAACGATACATAAATATAACAACATTGCAAAGCCTGATAAGTATATAGAAACATCCAATAATCACCTAAATGATCAGACTACAGTTCGGCTAATTTTAAATAATTAATACAAAGTAATTTGCTACTAGAGGTAGATGTTAGGCACCATCTCTTAACTAAATTAATAATTATAATTTTTAATAATTTATAAGATAATTTAGAACCATCTGGAAGAAAAGAACTGACCTAAGTGGGGCTTGAACTCGCAGACTCCACTTGCCGTGGTGGAGTTGTCCTTAAACCATGGGCATAGGAGTTGCTTCCCAGCCAGCACCATGATTAGTTGCGTAAAATTATATTCAAATGTAAATACCACTGGAAGTGAAGCTTGCTCTGGGTCCGGATGGCATAACTGGCAAGTGCACCGCATGGCAAGCAGAGGCTGCAGGTTCAAGCCCCATCCCATGTCAGTTCTTTTCTTCCAGATTGTTCTAAATTATCTTATAAATTATTAAAAATTATAATTATTACTGTAGTTAAGAGATGGTACCTAGCATCTACATCTAGTAGCAAATTACTTTGTATTAATTATATAAAATTAGCTGAACTGTAGCCCTATCATTTAGGCAAACATTGGATGTTTCTCGTAACAATACAACCAATTCCCATCATTCAGTATTAACACATGCTTTAACATAAATTTGAATTACTGTATCAACTGTACTGTTTTTGTTGGCTGTTGATTAGTGTTTCATGTGTTTTGTGCAGAAGTCTAAATTTATTTGATTATTTTGCATTAACTTAGGCTACTAAGTTACAAAAAACATCATTATAGATTGTACAGCCAATTTAAATACTTTTAGTTCAGTGACAGAATAAAATACTGTCTGAAAATTTACAAATTTGAGGTTTAACTTGCACAAATGTTATTGATGCAAACTTCATAACTGACAAGAGGACATGGGTACATATTTTTAATTCAATAGTTGAGAGTTATTTTTTTATAAGAAATGAATATCTAAAAACGAAATACCTCAAAATGATTTGTTATCAAAACACAAAGGATTGAATATACTGTGTTGATAATTAGTGGAACCCTAGGAAATCCTTACTTTTATCGATGCCAGTTAGGGGCAGATCTACGTAGGGACTAATAAGGCTTAAGCTCTGGGTCCCCAAGTGTCAAAGGCCCACAAAAATTAAATTATCATCATAAACTTTTAATACTTTTTCATTAACAATGAGCATTTATTGTATAATAAAAAAAATAGTTAATATTAATAATATAATAATAATGATAATTTATAGTATTATTTGTTTTATTGTAATCAATGTAACATAATTGGCCAGTAATTAATAAATGTAAATATTTCTTTATTTCTTATGTTTTTTTTATATAAGATATAAAGTTTGTCATTCAACACCATTTCATAAATAATTACATTTCAACTCCATATTTTGATGTTATTAACAATGAATTTTAAACCCAAATTTAAAGATTCTTAATATAACAAAAAATTAGGCCCCATTGAACTTCAATAAGCCCTAGGTCCCTGTTATGTTCTTAAGGTGTATAGAACTCTAATCGTAGATCGCTGTTTAATATATAACAAAGAAACGGTATAACGGTCGGACTGGACACCGGTCAAGTCCTGCTTGACTGACTGACCCAAAAAAAAGACATCCCCGAATCGCACGCCCTCACATAGGTGTAACCTGATCGGTTCCAGATTGAACCCCAGTCGTTAGGTTTTCACACGTGGAAAACACCTGACCCAACAGTCCCAAAAAACCTAGATCCACCCCTAATGATATGTAAATATAGTACTATCCTTCAGAAATCTGAAAAATTTCAAGTCCAAAAATTTGACAATCTTTTATCAAAAATTCTTGGGACCAGACATGGTTCCAAGAATTTTTGATAAGAGATTGTCAACATGTATATATATTCTTTTCAAATACATATAGTTTTTGTTTGTTTGCCTTATATATTTTGATGAAGATCCTTCTGTATTGTCTTTTTTTTTTTTTTTTTTTGAAGGTCATGAAACTATCTTATATATTAAAATAAATAAATTAAGTTAGAATTTTAGTTAAAAAAATTGTATAATACCAACATTACAAACTATTCTCTTATTATTTCCTTTAATGATATGAATAAACAATGATAAATATGGTAAAAGAAAGATACTTTTTGACACTAGTACATAACAAGGACTGTTGTTAAAAGAGAACCCATTGTGTCAAAGAAAATGCTCAACTACAATAAAATCTGATTAATTCATCAAAACAATTTGACTTTTCCTAATTTTGATTCTTATTTCAAGTGAATTGTACATGTTAATATATTGAAGAAAGTATTAAAGTATGCACATTTTAAAAAAACAATATACATGGATGCAATAATTTTATAAGAGTGAAAAAACTTTTATAGTATCGATTTTAATATGATTAAAATTCATTATTTAAATTTTCTTTGACTTTTTTTTATTTATTTAAAAGTTATAATAATTTTTACTTCATAATTAGAATTCTCCATTTTAATTTAATACATAAAATTTAAATTGCATTTATTATAGTGAAGATGGAATTATGTTTCAAATGAGTAAAAACAGTCAAAAGATAGTACAGTAGAGCCTCGAAAACTCGGCCTAATGTGGACCGAAGGGTGGCCGAGTTTGTGAAAATGCCGGGTTATCGGGAATGGGGTTAAAAAAAATAAGTACGAGTGTTTCCTCAGAAAATACTGTACTGTACTTGTATGTATTGTTTACTTGAGAATACAACAGAGAATAAACTGCCCAAATACCCTTAAACAAAGGAAAAGTACGTCTTTTATGAAAGCATAGAGCCTTTACTACATGAAAATGAAAATTAATGAATACACTGTACAGTAATTTACCTGATAAGACAGACCTCAGAAAAATACTTTATGAGGCATAAAGCTGTCTTTATCATGAAAATCAATTAACTAAGGATTTTTTTGCCCTGCCAGGGTGTGGCCGAGTTATCCAGAGTGCCGGATTATTGAGTGCAGAGTTTTCAAGGCTCTACTGTAGTGACAAACTTTAACCTTACCTGTATAGTGTTAGCAACTGGTTTTAAAAATGAAGTAGCAAAACTGTACACTATTGGATCACAAGAGAATTTACTCACTGATTTTTTCTGTAAGAAAGAAGAAATTAATTTAATTTTTTTCACAGTTAAAACAATCCAATAATACTACACTCTATATAAACAAATAAACTATGCAATACTTTAATCTATAATAACTGAAATTTTAATAATTATTATAAATTAATATTCTCAACATTAAATGGTTATTGTCAGGTTCAAATTAACAAAAACAAAAAACAGAGAATATACAATTAAATTTTTTATTTTTTTATAGTCTCTATCAATATTTGGAGATGTTAAAAATGCTTATTTCTTTTAATTAAACAATTTTTTAATTTAAATCATAATGTGTGACTTACAGAGTGTAATTGTGCATTTTATTTTTCCTTTTACTCCAATTGGAGCATGATGGGTATCTAATCGAAGTAATCAGAAACGCTACTTTCTAATAATTTCTTGCTAGAATTGAGCTCATTGTCTTTATCAGAATAGTTTGGTTTTAATCTATAATCTATAATAATTATTTTTATATAAATATATTACTTTGATCAAGCATGATTTTACTTTAATTTTTAACATTTTTAATCTTTTAAACATTACTTTCAAGCATTATGAAAACATTTATTTTAACTCATGTCTTTTAAAAAGATTTTAAAAAATCTTTAAAAGATTTTTGGTCTATTAATCATCATTATTAATGCACTTTGACATGCCAAGAATCTGACATTCTAAAAAGTGCCATTTTTAATTCTAATTATGAAAATTGTCAAGTGACAAACTACTCCATTAACATTATATTTTCAGCTGATGATATTTTATTATTAAATGTCTTAACATTTAGTGGATTTACCAACTTATTAAAACATTTATCATTTTTTTGATAAAGACAGTGAGTACTCATGTAAAGTATAACCTCCTAAAAAAATTTGTAAAGTATTAACAAGAATTGGCATTAGTAATAACATTAAATTGGCAAATCTGCTAAATGTTAAGACATTTAAGAGTTTGTTAAATGATATATCAATATATATGAATATATTAATAATCATAATGGGATATTTTATTAATGATACTATAAACAGCTTTAAAATTACAGTTGGATATATTTTAGTATGCAAAACTTAATTATGAGAATGCACCAAACTACAATGCTTAGAAATTAGTCATTTTATCATATTTGTAGAAAAGTCTATAATAAATATATTGCTATATATAATTCAATGAAGCAGTATATTAGGACATGACAAATTTTTTACATCAAATTAAAAATGATCTAATAGTCAACACAATCTAATTAGTCAACTTAACATCAATAATTAATACAGTTGACTCTCAATAAATCAAATCTCTAACTTGAATTTTATTTTTATCCTGACATCACTCTCATAAACTTGATGTATTTTGTATCAAAGTCAAAATGGTTTTTAAGGCTTTTCCTTAGCTCAAAATTTAAGATTCCAATAAAGTTAGTTTGTGTCTACTTGTGCACAATTTCTGTTGTATCTTCAATGAGAGAGACCACATTAACAGCAATCATGTGCTGTAGTAATTTTCCACAATTACTAGTTTTTTCTGGCATTTTCACCAAATTGATTTACTTAGCTGTACTTTCATGGTATCCTCTTGCTACATGCTATCTATCCAACTGTGTAAGCAGCTTTTGAGAGACTGTGATAAGTGAAAAAATTTTTTCATTATTTATTTATGTTTTCTCATCTTTATTTTGAATAAATAAAGATGAGAAAACCCGCCAAGTGTCTTAATTTATAGCACTTTATTGTGTTAGAAGCATAAACAAATTGCAAAGCACGGTTTCATATCATCAAAAAAAATTTTTTCACTTATTACAGTTTCTCAAAAACTGCAGGAAAAATCACCACCTTTCACGTGATCTCACAAAATATTTTGGTATTGTAACAATCATATATGTAATGCAGAGTTTTTCCGCTTTTGACATCAAACTTCAAGTAAACAATGAAATCAGACAGAACCATGCGATGAGTATTCAATTCCTTTCACAAATGATATAAATATTTACAGTCTCATTAAAAGAAATCTGATAATTTTCATTACTTTGAAATTTTGTTAAATCAAAAATTATTTGCTCTATCTTTCACTAAGTCAGAGTCAACTGTATAAAAATATTATTATTCAAGGAAATGTAATTAAACACTGTTTAATTTTTAATTTATTTTCAGTATTACAATGTAATATCTAGCCAATCCTTATTATTTAAAGCAAATTAAGTTAATCTGTATTAAGACAATATTCTGTACTGTACATGTGGTATTTTCCAAACTGCAAGTGGCAAAGGTTTGCCATTTGCTAAATACACAATAGTATGGGTGGGTAGCTTGTGATAAATGTTCAGAATTTATAACATGTACAATAACTGAATTCAATTTGAACTGCCAGATAATCTGCTGGATTATTTTCCAGATAGCTTAATCATTAGATATAAAGTAATTCAACTAGAGATAGGCAGTTAGGCTGCCATCTCATGATAAATTTAATAATTAGAAATAAATTAATGTTTAGGAATTTTTTGGAAGAGAAGAAAAGCCTAGAGTAAGTTTTTTCACCCAAATCAGAGCAGCCAAACATTTGTCCTGGCCATACGCAGGAAATAGATGCACGTGTGTACGCGAGAGTTCATTACTTGACAAACAGTTTGGAAAATAGTTCACATCCACATGCAAACATTTGTCACTTGATAAATAGCACATATGTAGCATTACATTTAGTATAATATACATTCCACTTTTTAAAAACACTTTTAAAAAACTGTTCCTACCTTAGATACCCATTCCTTCACATTATCTTTAGCTAAAGTTTTTGTAAGTAAGTTATGAAGACCCTAAATAAAAATATTAAATATGTATTAATCATCATAAATATTAATGAAATTAATTAATAATATAAATCATCACCGAATACCTTTGGATCGCTGGTGTACGGAAGATATCCAGCTTTTTGTTTTAAGTATAAATTTCCATTATTTTCTAGTAAATGTCTGCAATAATATTTTTTAAAATAATTGTCAATTATAAAAAATGAAATTATTTGTATTCCTGACTTAAAATTTCCCATCCTCAGAAATTAGTAAAAATCCATTCCTCAAACAGATGTCTCAAAAGTATGAATCCATAAATGTTTATCCTTATATAAAAATTAAAATATATCTTTTTTTACTTCAGATCCAAGATGGCTGACTTCAAAGCTATCAATAGAAGACCTCCTAGGTTTCTGGATCTAATACCATTCAACTTTTTTCTTTACGAGCATCCAAAGTTGGTACTCTATCAGAATAGGCCAAGAACAATTGCTGCACTACAGGAGAAAGTTGTTTCTACACATAACAAAATCAGTTAAGATCATTAAGAAACGTTCAATATTCTTGTAAAGTATTTGGTAAATATACAAGTGTTGTGAAATCCAGAGCTGTCAACTTAAGCATTTATAACTAAATGATTGTGAGATTATATCTGGCTGTAATAATGCTATGATTAAAAGCATTATTACAGCCTGATGTAATCCTGAAATCATTTTGCATTAATCTAAAAACCACATTAATGGATGTTTAAGCATTTACTATAATAAAACATTCCTGCATAAGGATCCAGACTGTTGAGACCTATTTATATCAAATCTATATTTTTATTTACAACCATGATAATTCTATATAAATTCACAATTTGTCAGAAATTTAATGATCACTAAAAAAGTTCACTTCCATATTTAATATTGAAAGAAATACTAAACAATTTATTTATGGAAATATTACATAATTTACACACTTTCTAATAATTTCTTCTTTCCAATTTTTTAAAAATCTAATCAAACAGTGCCATTAAGTTTTTAACATAATTTTTATCATGTGAAATAAATTTGCACATGACTGATAAAAAACTGACAAGCTATATGCAAGTATTAAATTTCTAAGATTTAAACCATTTAAACCATATGAACATTTACAGTTGAAACTGCACCATTCGAATATTATTACAAATTTATTTTTGAAAATTCTGAATATCATCATTAAGATTTCTTTAAAATGTCCATATTTGTATTGATACTAATGTGTGTACCTGTGCATTCTTCCCTTAAGTGCCTTAAAATTTTTCTATATACTTTTGTTTCTTTATAATTATGAAACTTCAGAATATTTTTAAATAATAAACAATTTTCACCAATTATTTCAATTGTTTTTAGTTTACTTACAAATTATAACAGTATTAAATAATAGATACTCACTTAAGCATATCCCAATTTTTATTGTTCTCAAATACTATTGGCCAATATCTGGAATCATCTATTCTAACCTAATATTTAAATAATCATTATTAGATAATTTTTAACTTTTCTATTATATTAATTGATTAGATAGTTAATTAAAAATAGAAAACAATGTTACCATAATATTTATAAAAGCATTTATGTAATTTGTACATTAAAGTAAAAATGAGTCACTTTGTAGCATATATTGATTTAATCACTTATTAAATAAGAGATTAAATTAATTTAAAAGTTTTAAAATACATGCTGAAACTGCATAAAATGCAATAAATTCTTCTACAAGGCTTTTTCAAGAAATCATTCCAGGAAAATGAAATGTAAAATGGGATATGATATATTACACACATTCATATTACTCTCATTGACAAAAAGTAAAATACACAGTTAGAATTATCCAATTATTGCAAATCTCACTGTAAAGCTATTTCTCAAACAAGTATGTAAATGATTACATTTGGGGTCTGACTGGAAGCCAGGTAATGCATCTAAAGTACTTTGAAAATGCTGAATACAGTGAATCTTTGCAAGTCTTTTTATAGGATATTGGAATAGTGATTTTAGTGTATCTGTTGTTTGCAGTTCTTCAAATTCCAGGTCAACCATATTTTTTTTTAAATTGCAATCGTCATTAAAACAAGTAAATATATTATTTCATTACTAATAAAAATATAAAAATTAGGCATATTCTCAAGTTTCAGAAGTTAAATGAAATACATATTGACTTAATTTGAGATTGTGTATAATTCTCGACAATAAAATTTATTTACAGATAAAAAATTTTCATTTTTACAGTTGTAAATTTTATCATCTTATTTTCTTCGATGATAAAAGGTATGTTAATGAATCTAACTAAAATATAATGTAATATTCAATCTAAATTTATATGAAGAAATATGTAATTTATTTAGTAAAAATATATTGGGACATTATTTTGTAATAACTTTTATATAATATCTTATTAGAGAAAATAAAAAATAATTTAAGAACCTTAAAGATTAATGATATGATATTAAATAACAAATTACCTCTCTTAAAAGTTTTGGTTCAGGCAAAAGACATGGTGCTGTTACTTTATATTGAACATTTTTATACCACGTTGTATCCTTGTAATATAAATAATTTTTTTTAATAACAATAAAAATTATAGTACTCTTTTGATTACATTTCCAATAATCTTACCTTGAATTTCACTAATAAATTTGCATATACTGCTTTACCAGTATCAATATCTCTTGGAATTAGGAAACGACGCTCGACTGCTAGTACATATAAATGGCGGAATGCTTGCAAGTGATACCTAATGGAATATTTGGTCATCATTAGTTATCATAGAAATAATTTTAGCAATATAATAATTTTAATTAATATTTTTTAAGAAAAATAAAAAGTTGCAAAATAAAAAATAATAATCATAAAATTAAAGTTAAATCAATGTGATTTAACTAAAATTAAAATTTCAGTATTTTATGTAGTGGTAAAATTTACTTTCATGCTTCAAAACGTTGTCTTAAAGCATTTTTTAAACTTTTTAACATGAAACTAAGATCAAATGTACACAAATTTGCATTGCTCCCATGCTGGAATGCATGTCTTTCAAATTAACAAGTAAGAATCATTCTCATATTGATGAAGAGATGCTTTAGCAATAATTCAGAATAGCACAAAACATGTTTATTTCAAGTATTGGAAGATACAAATTAGTAGAAGTAAATTATATTGTAATTTTACAATATAAAAATAAAATAAACTGGAAATCCTTGTTAATTCAAACTCTGATAATTCAAAATCCCATTAGTTCTCAACTATACTATTTATCCTGGCTGGAGATATAAAGATTTACACATTAAGGAATTTGGTTAGTTCAAAATAATGCTACTTTGAAATTCAAAATGAAAATTCTGTCCGAACTGTAATATGCATATGTTAACTCGTTCGTTTAGATCTATTATACTAAAACAGGACCCTACATCTACAATATTAAGAAAAACATGTAAAATCATAGCACTTCCCAGAATTGTAGCTTCCTTAATCGGTCCTCCCAATCCACCAACGAATGTTGCTTGTCCTAGATTATTTTTGAAGTTAAAAACACATAAACCTGCCTGACCTTTAAGACCTTTAGTCAACAAATGATCCCATCCCACATACCATTTAGAAACTGCACTAGGCAAAACAAATTACTGCTTTAATTCCACCTTCCAAATTTGTAACTACTCTATGGATGCAAAAGCAATCGTCCTACATAAATTAGAAAACCTCCCCACCAACAACTGTACAAAGTTGATGTGATTTCCTTATATCCATCTGTACCACATTTCGAGGCCATCATGCTTGCAAATACTCTGCTGCTTAACTCTGGTTATCCAACATCACGTTTTACATTTGTATGAAACTCTCTTTCTCATTACTAAAAATAATTACTTTCAATTCAATGGAAAAATATATAAACAGACACAGAAAGTACCTATGGGTTCCCCATGATTACCTATTTGGCAGAGCTTATTATGAGGAACATTGAACATCGTATTTTCAATGCTCCCTTGACCATTCAATATCCAATTATGTATCTACATTATGTTGATGATGTGCTACTCATGTGGGAAGGTTCTATTAAACACTTAGAGCAATTTATTCAATCATTGGCCTCTGTTTATCCTTCGATCAAGTTCACTGTAGAGGAAGAACAAAATGCAAGAATCTCATTCCAAGATCTAGAAATTCATACGTCTCCTGATCTTTTATTTTCTGTCCATCATAGAAACAACAAAACACCACAAATTATCCCTGCTACAGCCTTCCAACTGTTAAACTGTGTGAATTCAGCTATATCTTTCCTTATACGGAGGGCATTCCTTCTCCCTTCCACCCAAGCACTAGTAGATGAAGAATTACTAATCATTAAAAGAACAATGCAAAAAGGAGGATATTCTCTCTCTAAATTTCATTATCTTCAGAATCAAGTCAAAAATAAGCTATTTCTGCAGTCATTTCTTAATAACAAAGAGAATCTAAAAATAGCACATCTTCCAATACCATATTTAGCTCTCTCTCTCTAAACATAGTACATCTTTTTAGAAAGATTGGTTTTGTTTTACCGAAAACCCCACAACCGACCCTAAGAAGACTATTATGCAATGACAGATATATATTTCAATTGAATGAAAAATCTGGGTTCTATCAAATTACACTAAAACATGCTCTTTCACAATAATTTGAAGTTGCAATTACTTCATCCCTTGAATTTTAAACTAATGAGGATTTTCTATATTATTAAATTATTATTGATATAATCACCAAAAATGAAAACTGTTTTTATATTATTAATTTTGAACATTATTTTAATATATTTTATTACACCTTAATTTAAATGAAGATTTCAGAAAATAATCAGTATAAAATCTGTGTAAGATAAAAATAAAGATCGGAATAGAACTGATTATTCAGTTCTATTCCAATTCTCCTGATAACTAACAGTCAAAACTATTAAATCATAGTAATATAACTACATTCACTTCATGTAAATTTCAACATTTTTACATATTGCAAATGTTAAAATTTCGTAAGTAATTAATTCTATGAAATCTTAATTAAAAAAATATACCTATTATCATTACTATGAGTTGGAAATTTTGGGAAGAATGCACACACCATAGCTCCTACAGCAAATGGATTTGTACTTAAAGTAAACCTATAAAACAAATAATAATAATAATTTAAACAAAATCATTTTTTTAAAATTTAGACTTTTATCTGTTTCTCCATACTTTCCACCTCCAAGAAATAGCAATCCTAAAGCCATATGTATTGCCATGTGAAAGCCATATAATACACATCCAGATGGTTGACTAGTTCTCGATCTGAGATGTCGACAGATTCTCAATACATCGAGATCTCCTGTTCCGGCCATGACCTAAAATAAATATAGTAATTTTTATACAAAATAATGTTCAACTATCACTTAAAAATCATGTTCCAAATAAAATAAATATAGAAATAACTCTATTATAAAAAGAAATATTTAAATATAAGGAAAATTATCCTAATAAAATATCTTAATGCATTATTGGATACTGATCCAAAAATTCATGGAATGATCAAAAAAGTAACTTTATCCATATGTAATGCACTATTTCTCAACAAAATCATTCAATTTTTCCAATATTTATCACAACATTTATCAAACTTGTTCATCCCATTCTAAAAGCTTCCTATCCTTGTTAATTGAAGCCAATTAGTGATGAGTGTTTTCATTTCTCCATCAATACAAAACATTAACCCTGTGTGTGTTCCTTCCAATTCTGGGAAACATTGAAAATCATAAGGGCCATAAGTGGCCAGATCCATGCCATTATATATTGATGCATACCAAATATCTTGCACAGATCTTACAGCATCTTAAGTCATTGTGAACAATATGCTGTATAGTTCCACATGTTAGGCCAAGCCGAAAGGAAATTTATTACAAAGTTATGTGCTTATTATCCTGGATTAGTTTTCAATTCTTGCAGAACTAAGTTTCATTGCCAAGCAGCTTGGACACCCACTATTGCTTAATGTATTTTCTCTGTTTCACTTGCAAACCTCTAATTCCATTCTGCAATATCTCAACAATACATGAAATCATCCCCGTAAACCTTAATAAACTTACAACATATTTTGGCAGGCGGAAGCTTTTCGGACCATTTAAATCAAATAACTGCGCCAACTTCACAAAACCACTTTTCTAGTGTCATCACTTGAAAATGCTGCCTCATAATCATCCTGCATTTGAGCATCATTCTAACCATTTGTTATTACCAATGTAGTGATTACTATCTATCTACAGAGTTACACTCAACAGTTCTTTGGATTTTTAAATTGTGGTCCTTGTAAAGTTGTTTTTAGAATATTTTTAAAATTTATTTATTGTCTTTTAGAATTTAAATTCAATTAACAACTAGTCCTCATTTGAACAGACTCTGGGATTAAATGATTTTAGTACCAAACAAAAGTACATGAAATGGTTGCTACCATGATGACAATACAAATGCAGAGAAAAATCCAATAGACACACATCAAAATGTATAATTTTACAATTGAAATAACATTAATGATTAACTCAAGGATGAGCAACCAGTGGCATCATTAGTATTTTGTACAGCCTGCATCAAACAAAGTATTTTAAAACAATACATAAAATGATATAAAAATTTAAAATACTGACATCAAGCAGTCTGTAATTGTACTAAACGCCGAGAGCTTTGTACAGTACATGCCTGGTAGTTTAATCTGACTTCACTCAACACTTCATGTAGAGCTGTAAAGTTTTAAAAACGTTTCCTCTCATTGAATTTAGTTTTAAATAAAAGTAATAGTGTATAATTTAATAGTATTAATCTATTTATATCTACTATACTATTTCAATGCTCCCTTGACCATTCAATATCCAATTATGTATCTACGTTATGTTGATGATGTGCTACTCATGTGGGAAGGTTCTATTGAAGACTTAGAGCAATTTATTCAATCATTGGCCTCTGTTTATCCTTCGATCAAGTTCACTGTAGAGGAAGAACAAAATTCCAGAATCTCATTCCTAGATCTAGAAATTCATACGTCTCCTGATCTTTTATTTTCTGTCCATCATAGAAACAACAAAACACCACAAATTATCCCTGCTACAGCCTTCCAACTGTTAAACTGTGTGAATTCAGCCATATCTTTCCTTANTATATCTACTATACTATTCCTTAGCCAAGAAAACCTAAAATAAATTTTTACAGTACCCATTTCAGTAAATATAGAAAATGTATCAACTGAAGTTCAATTGGAGATAACAGACTTGCAAAGTAATTTTGATTTCACAGACACTTTTGAAGAAAAAAATTTGATAAATTTTTATAAAACTTTGACCAAAGAAAATCAATTTCCCAATTTAAGGAAATATGCAGCAAAAATTCTATTGTTATTTTATACAATTTATATGTGAACAATTTTTCCTGCAATGAATTTAGTAAAAAGTAAAAAAATCACCTAACAGACTTACATCTCAAAAATAATGACTAAATATTTGGCCAAATGTTTCAGATTTATTACATTTGCATCAGTTCCAGAAGTCTCATTAAATACATCTATGTTAATTTATAACGATATAAGAATAAATAATTGTGATTTACCCACAATTTTTTTCTTTTTCCTCATGTGCACAGCCCACATCAGTTGTTTTAAATGTGGCCCTAATGTATAAAATGGTTATTCATCCCTGAATTAGCTTATGATAATTGAACTGATCAAGTATATAAAATCTTTTATTATTATTACAATTTTGTATTATTTGTTGGTGCTTTGTACTTCATTGTCTGCCACTAGAAGCATCCACTACAGCTGAAATTATATCATCTATCATCAGATGATCTTTAAAACGATGCATAAAAAATCATAAAAATGAGGGTCAGCCCAAATAGACATTACTTGTGAAGTATAAATAATAATTTTGACTCTACAGAACTTGTATTTGTGGTTCCAAACTGAACACAAAGTTATTTCAAAATACTGTAAATCCTCAATTTGACAGACCTTTATTTAACAAACTTCAGATTTAATGGACAGAAAAATTTCTATCCTAAAGAAAAGTTTTATAACTATTTTTAATTCAAGGATAAAACACACTAAACGATGGGTCAATGAGCCAATGAATACAAATTACTGAATAGTTAGGGGATGATCAAAAAGTCACTGTTCTATAGTGCATAGTTGCTTGTATTATGTCCAAGGTGAGCCAATATATAGCCATGCACTTAGTAATGTATTATTTGCACTCAGAATTGTGTGTGGAACATGTGGTATACATATTGATGGCAATATTGCTATCAAATATATCCCTATCAGACCAATATGCCCTTGTCCTGTTTTTGGCTGCAAAAGAACATAAACCAATGGATATTCATCATAGAATGTTAAAAGTGTATGGAGATGCATGCATGTCCAAAACTATCATTATGGAATAGTGTATGAATCTCCATAAAGATCACAATAATGCATCCCCTTGTGTTACAGTATCGTCAAGCAGAAGTTGAACGACCTTAAATGGGAACCACCATTCAGTCCGGATCTCTCGCTGTGTGATTTTCACTTTCAGACTTTCAGTCCTCTATGAAAGTTCCTTAAATATCAATAACAATTCCAGTCAAAAATATGAAGAAAGCGGTACTGGATTTTTTATGCAGCAGCCAGCCAATTTCTACCAGACTGACATTTTTAACCTGATTGATCAAAAAGACAATTGCCTTATCATCATTGGCAATTTTATTCTAAATAAAATGAACTTGCCAGCCCCACAGCACTTGAACAGAAACTTTTTAATGAATTCTTAAACATTATAACAACATTTTAATGCATTCTGTAAGTTGGAAGTTCATTATTAATATATGTTTTAAAAGCACATTTGATTTAATGGACTTTTGGTGATAGCAGATATCCCTTTGCCTCCCAATCTGTCCAATAAATAAATTTAAGGCTTACTGTATAATAAAAAATAATATCTGATCATTTATTTTAACATCAAAGTTTTCAATTGATCTTCAAAATACTTTGTTATTTTGTTTATATTTTCTATTAAATAAACAAATTATAGTTTTCATACGAAAATTTTGTTTTAATTCAGTGAATTCGTTAAACCAAAATAAACCAATAACTGAATGGCCAAAACAATCAAGCTGTTAGCCAACTGGCGCAGGGACCCAGGATAGGATTTGGGCAGTTAAAAACAAAAATTTTCTACGGGCAGTCTTCTCCAGATGTACAAAAATAAATAAACGTCTATTAACCCAATTTTTTTATTAAATACCAAATGATCTACCAGATTATATTGGGAGTTACAGATTTGAGTCTCACTCTGGGATAAAATATCTTAATGCATTATTGGATACTGATCCAAAAATTCATGGAATGATCAAAAAAGTAACTTTATCCATATGTAATGCACTATTTCTCAACAAAATCATTCAATTTTTCCAATATTTATCACAACATTTATCAAACTTGTTCATCCCATTCTAAAAGCTTCCTATCCTTGTTAATTGAAGCCAATTAGTGATGANTTATTAAGAGATTAATTATTAAATAGTAGCCATTTTATAGCCAGATGTGATCTAGCATATCATTTGACTGTTCCAGGTTTACTACGCCCTGTCCTTCACCACCCAGCCACTTCCAATTTGAAACTACAAGACGAGTATAGAAAAAAAGGCCCTCTTAGTGCCCACAACACAAAAAAAATTGAGGAATATCAAAAGATAATATCAAAATATCAAAGAGTATAAAAATTCAACTTATTATACTTTTGAATCTTTTAACATTAATTTAACATTTAACCTACCTTTTAAACTTTTACTATAAAGTTAACTAATTACTACAGTTAATAGTCTAAGGTTAATTTTAATATCAAATGGTTAAAAGAAATCCATTTAATACTGAAAACACTTCACAAGCCATATCATTTAAAACTAATTATTATTCAATGTAGTACAGCACACAAATCTAAAATGAAATTAACAAGAGAAATTATGAAATGTAGCAATGTTTAAAAAATTTTTGCTTATACATGTTAAAGCAATAGATGTATTTTACATACTAATTTATTTTGATATGAAAAACAACATAATTAGTAAAGTGTTATAGTTTAAATACAGAATTTAATAAAACCAAATAAATATAAAATAAATGATTCCTTACAATTGCCAACGACAGCACAATTACGCTGAGACACGTCTCGATTGTATTTTTTCCCGCTTGTTCAGCTACTGGTTTGGCAGAAAGTGATAAAAAAGACTTGGCGTAATGCATCTGAAATGCAGTAAAATTTGATTTTAGAAAAAAATTTAAATAGTTAAATCAATTTATTTTTAATTATAATCAAAGTATAAATGAAGAATAAGTTTACAATAAAATGTCCACATTCATATCTTTCTTACAAAATTTTTTCTAATATTTTTTAAAGAAAGGAAATTTTTACATAAACTTTAAACAGATATATTTTTCATTATGTAACATAAAAATAACTTTAATCGTTTATACTTTTAGATGCTTTAAAATCTTAATCATACTACAGGCAAATTATCATTAATATATTGTCAATTGTATAATTAATTATTTTACATATTATTAAATTATTCTTCAAAAATTATTCAAAAAACAATGATTTAAATTAATAAATTTCAAGACAAGTCCATAAAAAGGATCATCTTTTATTCACTTTTATTTTCTGGAATAACATTTTGACAGTATTGATCCTTTTATTACAGACTATGTGGCCATCATCTACTTTTTCACCTTGCACCACAGAGCACAGTAATATTTTGAAACCATAGTCAGTGTGATCAAATCATCACTCTGGAAAATGAAAGTAAATAAAAGCTGAATATTTAAACAAACTTGAGTTAAAATCTATTAGCATAATGTTTAAACTTCATATGTTTTCATAAAGCATCACTTGTTAGTATGTGTTTGTAGATGAATACTAAACTAATTAAAATACAAAGTCTTCAAAGAAAAACAACAATGCTAACATTTTAACTTACTGTGACTATGTTAATTATCATCTTAGAAGTATACAATGTACATCAATCAACTGCAGCTCCACTGATTACTCACTGATTGAGAATTTTTCAAAAAACTGATTACTCATGCTGCACAATGAAAAGTGATTCCAACTTTGCAAACTGCAGAATGCAAAATGCCTTCTCTGCTGCAAATTTGCCATTTTCATTTAGAGGCAATAGACAACAATACATTTGAATGCAGATGGGAGACAAAACTGTCACAGTTACTTTATCAATTGCATACTTCTCAGATAATAATTAACATAATTACATACGGCCCTATCTAAAGAATACTTTAGATAGGGCCGATCAATCTGGTAATGTTATATCAGAAAACATAGAAGGTAATGGGGAAACTTATAACATAATTACAGTGATTTATAATAGCAGCATTCATTTTAGAAGACCTTGTATTTATAATTTCACATTTCTCTGCAAACTATTACACTCATTCTTAGTTGACACAAAATCATATCTATTTTTTAATTACAGTAAAACCTGTCTATGGCAACCACCCACGGTTCCTTCAAAAAGTTGTCTTTTAGACAGGTGATCGTCTAATACAGGTGGTGCTGTAATACTGTATTTCTGTACATATTTTGCACACTTTTTAGCCATTTCAACTAAGTAAAACTCAAAGTAAGAAAAAATAAGTGAATTTTTTCAACAATAGAGCTATATTGGTATTGTATTTTATTCTTATTGGATAACTCAATTTATAGGAGGCGTCACGATTTTATAAGACAGATTTAATACCAATATTTTAAAGATTAATACAATACATGCATTTTCTCGAATATAATGTACACTTTCTTTTTTCTGACTTAATTAATTCAACTTAGTTCTTTTCATTTGCTCCTCAGTTACGTGTATTATGTCATTTATATACAAGTGCATCGTATCTCTCCATCACTTTGGTTTTGGTTTTGTTAGTTTAATCTTATTTTAATTTTAAAAATACTGTATTTTTTTAATATTTAATATTTTCTTAAATACAATAAAAAAAATTATTAATTACTAATAAAAGGATTTTATTATTTTTTCTCATAATACAATTTCATTACATTCTGTGATTGTCATTGGACAATCGCAGAATTGAAAAAGGAAGGTTGCCTGTAAAATTTATTTTTGCATTAATGCATTTATTGTTTTTTTGAATATTTTGCGTGCAAAAATTACTTGGATATTATTTTTCTAAAAATATTGTGGAAATAAGGTAGGTTGATATAGAAACTATTTATTGCACATGTACTGTATATGAGCTTCAAAAAAAATAAATAAATAAATAAATTTTATCAAACAATGAGATCAGCTGATTAATTGTATCATGTACAATATTTTATACCCCTAAGGAAAATACTGTGAGTCTATGGTAAAATAAATTTTGTTTTCCCACAGTTAAACTTCACCGCTAATTGCCATTATGATAAACCATTTTCACTTTCTCTGATAACTTTAACATGATCTTCTAATGACAGCACTTTTCATTTCTTTCATTTTCCGGACAATTTCGAATAAACTGAAATGAATTTCTTTTGTTACTAGACTAATTTATTAACACTTGCACCTAATTTCAAGAGTGGGAGAAATGCCCATGGGTTTGAACAAGAGTTTAGACCAGTGTTTCTCAATGGGGGCGATATCGTCCCCACGTGGGTGTTTTTCTATGTTAAGGGGGTGATTAGTAATAATTTATATTTGGGGGCAAAAAACAATTTTCTGGGCAATATAGTAAAACATTATATTAAGAATAATTAGATATTTTATTTGTTATATTGTACAATAATTAAACAAACAACATTATACTAGTCACTAGTCTATTCAATGCAGTACGAATTTGGCGTTAGCCTTGGCTCTTGGCATCAGAATTTTGAAGTGAAGGGGGCGATACTATGTTGAAGGGGGCGACAATTCGTTAGAGGTTGAGAAACACTGGTTTAGACTAATTCATTATCTTAGGAGGGGGGAACGTTGTTTAACAATAGTTTAGACCAGATATATTCGCGGAAGTGGCTGCTTATTACAGTTATTGTATGTTGTTTCAGACCAAAAATCAATGCCCATGGTCACATTACACTGGTGGTCGTTTAATACAGGTAACTTACACAAAGACTCTATGTATAAACTATCCCGTGCCAGAAATTTTTGCCCATTTTGACAGGTGCCCATCAAATGCAGGTGGTTGCCTAAGCAGTTTTCACTGTATATATATAATCATTAAAACTTAAGAAATATTGTATAATCAATACTTCCCCTCTTTTTTTATAAGGATACAAAATATAACAATAGCAATGAATACTAGAAAATGTTATTTATTGAATTCTACAGCATAATTAAAATGGAAATGTTCAGTTTGATTGAATATAGATCAATCAAAAGATAATAATTGAAGCCCTAATAAAGATTAAGATATTTGATAAAACAAAGATTAAATTATTTGCTATATTATTTCATTGCTATCTATTATAATAATCCTTACATAATCTTATCTTGTTTACATGAATTAACATTTACATTTATCATACCAAAACTTCATCAAGTACTATTTTTAAATTATATTATTCTTCATTTGTCACATTAACCAAACTGTGTAAAACAAATAATACAGTATAACTAATCGATCTTCCATATAATAAATTTTAAATAATATATAATGAATGACACTTCACACATTTTTAGGAAGTTTGTAAACAGAATTTTTATGTTTCTTTTCATCTACTTTTCATTATGTTTCAGAAATGTGGCAAATATTTAACTTTAATACAATTTCTTATAATTAAATATATTTCTGATTGATTATATAAAATCTAAGAATTAAAAATTATAAGTAGACTATATTTATTATTGTGTAATTACCAGAGTTTGAAAAGCTTCAGCATTTGCAGATCCAGCAAATTTCAAACCCAAAACCATGCAAGCACCAGCAATAATATTACAATAAGCTTGACTAAAATAGAAAAAATAAAAAAGAAAAGTTATAATTTAAAGCATATGAAATAATAATAATAAATTTTGAAACAACAATTTAAAATGCATTTTAAATGTGTTTGTTGAATTAGTTCTAATGTGAATTATTTAGAATAATGATAGATTTTATTGTTTGTGAATTGAGGCATTGACATAGGATAGGAAGTATCACAAATTCAACTTATCATCTTTTTCTTTTGGAGACAGTAGTAAATGCCAATGCCAGTAGCACAGATAAAGTATTTAGTCCAAAAGTACACACACACACACACACACACACACACTCTTTATTAATGCAACATTATTGCATCACTGGTACCGCAATAGCATAACCAGTTTATACATGTTTAAGGTTGAACACAGGAATATGAAGTAATGTGCATCAATGCATTTACATAAGATATATACCGTAAATTAATACCGTAACATTTACATGTTTGACAGATGACATTGAATATCTGCATTATAAATAATAAGCTAGATTAACAACTTAAAATTAAACATANCATGGTTACAATTAGAACATTAAAACTCTTTTCAACCTGAAATAGTTAATAACTCGAAAACTCTTTAACTTAGACCTCCTAAAATTTTTGACATTGCTCACCATTGAATTAGGAGAATGAATCTTGTGTTGACATTTAAATTTCATTTTTCATTCAGTAACTTTCTCTCTTTTTTTATTATTATTTTATTTTTTCTTTTTTAATCGAAAGGTCTGTTGCCATGGTTACAATTAGAACATTAAAACTATTTTCAACCTGAAATAGTTAATAACTCGAAAACTCTTTAACTTAGACCTCCTAAAATTTTTGACATTACTCACAGTTGAATTGGGAGTATGAATCCGTATTCAGATCCGGATAAGCGAACCAAGCTTTCCGGATAGATGATCCGAAAAATTGTCGTGTATTAGAACGTCCGTAATTCAAAAATGATAAGTCCCACAGACTTGATCTTGACCTCGTTTTAATCCTTATTTTATACACTTCCAAACAATATATGATACGATTCACTTAATTAAAAGAAATTACGAGAAAACTCAATTTAAAACAGAGACCAACTTGCCATAATTCCAAGCTCAGCGCCCTCTCAGTCCAAAAGTACAGTAATATCTCGACTTACGCTACCCCGACTTACGCGAACCCAGTTACGCAATTTTCAAATCTCGTCGATTCATCCTTTGTTTGAGCGCCACACAACTCTTGATTACCCCCCCACACTATTGTTCAGCTTACATGTTCGGACGTGTCGCACGGAATCAACACATAGCTACAATTTATTTTGTGTTATTTATTTCTGTGTTTGTTATATCTACGGAGACTCGAGAGACTATGTGGTGATTTCTTGTAACCGTGAACAAATCAAAAGACGAGATAAGATTAACGAGAACATTTATTAGCTTACATACATCCAACTTGGATTTTACACAAATTGCGAAATTATACCCCGACTTACNAGAGACCTGCTGCAATGTGTAAAAAGTCTGTATCTGTATGAATGTGTGAATAAAGTGATCCTCCACCTCCTCCTCACAGCATCTGACTACCCAGCATAATCAGTGACTGCTCCATTTTCATTTTTTTTTATGGTACAGTACAATTATTTTGTGCTGCGGAACGAATTATATGTTTTAATATGTATTTCTATGGGAAAATGCGTGTGTGTGTAACCACCACTATACGAATATGCCATCATATTATACCTGCTACAATGTATGTATACACCCTTTGTCAGAAAAGTTCCAGGACAAAGCTCATAAAAAGTAGAAAATTGCAATTACCAAGGATCCTAGCTCCTGTCAAAGTAGTCCAACATACACATTCTACCTATCTATACACAATTGTGTACAGATAGCTGAGGGGACTACTTTGACAGGAGCTAGGATCATTAGTAATTGCAATTTTCTATTTTTTTTATGAGCTTTGTCCTGGAACTTTTCTGACAAAGGGTGTGTGTGTATAGATGTGTGTATGTGTATGTATATATATAGTAAAGAATAATAATAATATACAGGGGTTGGACAAAGTAATGTAAACACTTGTATAAAAGCAGTGTCCCAAGACAATAGTGCACCTATCCACAGTGCCAAATGGGTCTGGCTGTGGTTTGTTAAACATCAGTTCAATACCTTCCTTGGACTCCGTAATCACCTGATAATTGAAACATTGTAGGAAATCTTGGAAATTTTCGTGTATGGTGGTTTCCTCTCCCACAGACACATTCAGAAAATTGAGTTCATTCTTTATAAAGAATGGACAGACATTTCTCTCCATTCATAAGCAGTAGGCGACTTGAAGCAAAAAACTTCATAAAATTGATTGATAAACACTATTAAAAAATATATATTAAAAATGATCTCGACATCGACCTTTTATATTAAGATTTGATATCTACAAAACTTTAAAAAGATGTTAAAATTTTACACATCCACACAACAGCATCCACATCATAGTTTTTTTGCTTCAAGTCACTTACTGTTTAGTTCCTGAATGGAGTGAAAGAAGGTTTTAATGGACTTGAACATTGTTCATATTGTCTTGATTTTCAATTACAAAAATATTTTTTCAAGTATTAATTAAGAAAAATTAATAAAAAATCAAGCATAGCCAGATAACATTCATAATATTAAAACAAACATATAATGTAATGTAAAATCAGTAAATTAACATGATGATATCATGTCAATTTACTGTCTAGTACATTCATGTTTCAAGCATTCCAATTCCAATATTCAAACAGGTAAAGAATTAAGACTGCAATACAAAAGTAACTGCTTCAGTACATATTAAGACTTAATCAATTTTTATGTAAGTTTTCGACTTAGAAAGATTTAGTATATATAAACTTGAAAGTAGTGTTTAAAAAAAGACCAAAACTTTTTGTTATTAAGGTTCTTATGCTGCTTTAAAAGGTTAAATCTTAATACAACTGCAATTAATTCAGATCTATTTACGTTACTTACAATCCAGACAATTTATAATTATTATTTAATATTAATTAAAGCTAAATTATATTTTTGGAATGAAAAGAGAGCAAAAAACTTTAAACTCACCCTGTATATTGCATAAAAACTTAAAAGTGTGACAATGGTAATTGATGTAAGAACTTACTTGGCAGCTGCCAAACCCAGCAATAATCCAACACTAGTCAATTCATGTCCCTAAAAATATATATAAATTATTAACTTTAAATACTTTTTGATATTCTATGGAAACAAAAACGTCTGAAAACCAATACCTTACAGAGATAATCATGCACACTCATTGTTGCCAAGTTGGACAAATGTCCATTCAAACCTAATGCCATAAGAAAACCTGCATGTTCTACTGGAGTATCGTTACTAATGGTCGAAGGTTTATTGTATACAATCCAAGTGGAATCAATCTGCACAAGAAACAATTATATAATTTTTGTATTACATATATAATAATTCATAGTTTTATAATAAATTTAAAATATATTATTTAAGATTTCTATTTTCATAATTTCAAAGCTGTGGTCGTCATAAAACAATAAATTATAAATTAAATAAATCATATATACATTGCACTGACTGCACTGAACATACCTATATTCTAGATACACCATAATTTAACCCTAGGAAGGTTTTTCTATTTTTTTAAAAATTTACAAACTTGAGTATTATGGTATTACATAAAAAAATTATATTTATAGGAATCTTAAATCTTATTAAAGGACTATTGATTTATTTTAAATAAAAATTGAATATTTATTTCCATATTGCAAGAAAGATTTCATGTTGGGGAAAAAATTAGTTGATATTTTATTATACAGTGGTGCCTCGTATAACGTACGCCTCGAATAACGAATGTTGTGAACAACGGACTTTCCGTTCGNTTGGATTTTACACAAATTGCGAAATTATACCCCGACTTACGTGAATTCGACCTACGTGGTTATCGCTCAGTCCCACCTATTGCGTATGTTTGGGGTATTACTGTAATACAAAACAGATTGAAAACATTGTCACTACTAGTTTCAGATATTTTTTTTCATAATGGATATGCTGTAATGAAGATATTTACAAACAAAATTGTTCCTAATTTTTGAAACTGAATTTGTAACCCACAGACTGAGTATATAGTTTCTATTTGCAAGGATCAAAGAGTTTTTACATTTATTTATTTGTCAATATGAAGTCAGCAAATTCTCTCTCATTCTTCTCACAAGCTCAATCTTATCCCTGGAAACTTCCATTTGTTTGAAGCAATGAAGAAATTACAGATGATTTGAGAACATTTATTTGTCTATGGTCAGCTGAATGAATTTCATGACACAAGCATAAACATTCATATAAGTGAGTAAATTGTCAAGACAATTATGTTAAAAAGTAGTAACAGAATTGTCAGTATTGTTAAAATAAAACACTATTCATCTATTTATTTTGTAAAATCTACTTTAAAAACTGATCTACATACATAATAGTTTTAAACAAGTTGACAAATTATATTATCTTACTAAATTAAATTAGATTCTGAAGTAAGTCAACTCTTAAAGTGCATAACAAATTAATAAATTCCCTGAATTATGTTTTTAATCAAAATTAATTTAATTAACAAATGAGTGAATGTTTTGCCTTGTTGTTCTGATTAAATAACTTAATAACTCATAGTAAATATGAATTATACAGTTATTTACTAAGTATATTAAAAAGTACACTAATTACCTCATTGTTTCATAATCAATATCTGTATTCACTTCAACTCTCTTAAAAGCATATGTTGAAACAATCTAATATACATATATAAAAAAGTAATTAAATTGTAACATTATTTTTTTACATTCAATAAATTGCCAATGGGATAAATAAAATAAAAAGTATATTTACTTCAGGTAAGTGATTTTCAATCCATTTTATTGATGGATGAATATTGCTCCATAGAATCAATCCCTTACTTAAAGTCTAAAAAAATAAATGTCAAAAGTAAATAAAATACAAAAATTACAAATAAAATAAAATTTCTTTCCATTTTCCATACCCTGAGAAGCAAAAAGTCTGGTCGAACCATGTCTAACAAATATTTGCTATCTGGTATTGTCATCCAATCAGCAATAGCTCTAAATATTAATAAAAATTTATAAATATTCATTTGGCAGATTTTTACTTTCAAAATAATTAAATATATGCTTATGTAAGTACCGAGCAATATGATTTTTATAAAAAAAAACTAATAAAAATTTTTAAAAAATGAAGATCAGCATATCATTATCTTAAATAAGGATACAGTTGGTCCATATTTGAAGGTTCGACATCCTTGAATTCAACCAACTACTAGAAAGTTTTAAAAGTACAATTTGAATTTGCTTATATTTTAAATTCTTGAAGTTTTATTCTATGTATTTCTCTTTCAGACCATTAAACAAAAATAATCTGTAAGTGTTGAAAGAAAGAAAATGTCATTGTGGTCAACTTGTACCATGTAGTCAGGCCTATGTTGGTCTGTATTGAACACTTTTTTTCTTCTCATTATTCCCTGAAGTGCCTAAACAATATGGTATAACAGCTATTTATATAACATTTACATTGTATTAGGTATTATAATTAATCTAGAGATGATTTAAAGTATACAGGAGAATGTGCACAAGTTATGTACCAAGACTATACCATTTTATATAAGAGACTTGAGAGCATCTGCAGATTTTGGTATTCATGGGGAGACCTTAGCTAAACCCCTGCAGATACCAAAAGATGACAGTATATATCTATGGCAATTGAAATTATAAACATACAGTCAGCATTAATAATACATCTGTTTTCATAAAATAACACTCTGAATCGAACTTAAACTTGACAATAACGTCTGTAAAAGTCAGTTTTGATACTAATTGGTCTTGTTTTCTCAAATTATAAAGTTTTACTAACTAGTTTGTTAACAGTTTATAAAGTGAAATTATAAATTTATGATTAATATAGTAATTCAGATGAATATATTTATAATGAGTAAAAACCTAAAAAATGTCAGTGATTTAACCATTTCATTTGAAAGGATTGAAAATGTTCTAAGTATTTTTCCAACATTTTTGATAAAAATATATAATATAAAACCTTTATAAATATAGTATATAATATAAGTTACTTCCATTATAGCCTAAAGTATATATACATATAGACATTAAACAAAACACACATACATATTTCCTGTATTAAAAAACATCATTCCTAAAGCAAGTGTTGCACCAGGACTAGTAACATCAATATTAACAGAATCGCCTTCTCTTATCTGATAACTAGGACTCTTGTGCTTTTCCTTATGAATTCCAGTCTAATAATTAATTAAAATTAAATTATTCAATTTGTAGATAATTTATTTAAGTACGTATTTACTTTTTTTAATGTATATATATGTAAGAAAAAATATTTACTAAAGGTCGTTTATGGCCACCAATCATAAAATGGTATAGTTGATCTGCCATTGGAAGATCTGAAAGTCCAGCAACTTCACTTCCTTTCTATTATGAATTAAATGTACTTTAGCTGATAAAAATTGTTTTACTGCTTAACATAGAAAAGATAATTAAAATTTAAATACATACTCCAAGTGTGACGAGTCCTAATGCTAAGCCAGCAGCAAGTGCATAACTCTCTCTATCGATGCAATGTTCCATTTCGGGACCAGGAGGTCGACCAATTTCTCCCAACAAAACATCTGCCATGTGTCTGTGGCCAGAACCTTGATATAGTAATCCTATACCAAGAACTGCAGCAACTTGTACAACAGCAGGAACATTTAGTTCTGTTGAAGTTGGTGGAAGTAGTGCTTCAACATGAATGCTCATTACTTTAGTACAAGCTAAATCCATTGTGCCTCTCCTTTCAGAGTATACAAAAAAACATAGGCAATTAACTTTAATACTTTAAAAATAAAACCAAAAAATTATTAAATTATGTATTGTATTATTTCAACAACCTAATGGAGCTTTTTTCCTAAACTTACCCAAATGGCTTCTGTATAAAATAACTGAAAACGAACAATATGCATTTTGTTAAATGTTATAATAAAAAAATAATGTTATAAAAGTCATCGTGATAAGTTTGGGGAAAAACAGCTCTATTTTAAACAGCAACATAAAAACTAAAATATATAAAAATAATACTTGAAATTGGAACAACAATAAAAAAAAAATTACAACAAAAGTTATTATTATGAAATTAATAATATAGAGTAAAATCAAAGTGAATTAAGCCAAGAAATTATAAACTAATTGAATTAAATATAACACACTACATGACATTCAACAAATCCCCAATGTATCAATGCTGCTTCTAGATAAAACTGGAAAGCACTTTTTGAATAAAAATATATCATGAGTCTAAAATACCAATCCAACTACTGTCTAAGACAAAAGAGTTGTGGATATTAATAATTCTAAGTTTGTGCACAAAAAGATGCAAGTAGGCACTGCTCCATTAATCAGATTGTTCACTTATCCATCCATCTTTTGATGATAGGACTTCACCAATAAATCTGGAACTTCTTAGCTAGTGTCCATTGCATCAATGCTAAAGCATGCTGCTTATTCTTCTGTATAGAATCATAGTACTTTGTTAACATATTATATTGCCCTTAGCATTCTGTACGTCAATCCTATGTAGTAAAAAATACTCTCCTACCATAGTAATTTTGATCATATCCAATTGTTTACATTCTATTTGTCTGTATGCAGTAGTTGCATGGAGGAGGAGAGATGTCTAACCAATAAAGTAATATTGTTATCTCTAGCATAATGGGTCAAGAGAGAAGTTATTGTTTTGCCAGTTACTATGCATATCATCGCTTTAGTTGTCTGGTCAACTTTGGGATTTTTTTTAGGTCCTGCTTCATATCTGTTCAAAGTTGCCCTAATAAGAATACCTTTAATTACATTGGGAGGAAAAACCACAATTAACTGCTATTTTTATAATGAACAAAAATTTGGGCTGTCTGTGTGTCAGTAACAAAAAGTAAATTATTGCTTTCTTTATTAAGGCTCTGAAGGTTCCTAACTTGTGGGCCATAAGATCTTGCAATCATATATGTTCAATTAGTGGACTTGCTGTATACAATTGTGCCATAGCCCTCTCCTAGAATATAGATAGAGAGTTTAAGAAATTGAATCCTTCTTAGCTAGTCTGATCAATTGTAACATTAACAATCACAAGATATTATGGCCCAAAGGTTAGAAGCCTTCACAGCCATAATAGAGTTATGCAGCCAAGCATTTTGATGTGTTATTTGTTTTATATATATGTAACTCAATATTGTTATCATGTTTAACATCTTAGTAATTGGTCAATGTTATTATTTATTTATTAATTTATTCTACATTTAATTGGAAATGTCTATGGACAAAAGATTTCCATCCCCAAATAACACAATTTACCCAAAAATATAATAAAATACAATAAAAATAACAAATAAAATTAACAAAGTAAAAAACATTCTTAAAAAGAAATATACAAAACAATAAAAAGAAATAAAGATCAAACATTATGTAGCAAGCATTGGCATAAATGTTTATATTTCGTAAAATCTTGATGATGATGATGTTCAATGGGCAACATAATTAATGGAGCGATAAAAAAAAAGGATCTACGACTTAATGCTAATCAATAAAAAAGTGTGTGTAGACATGATTGGTATCTAGTTACTCTAAAGGGAACTTTCAACCTGAGTCATTAATTATATATTATGTCATTAAAACATTTATAGATCAAAATTCGGTCGAAATACTTAACTCTGTCTTTGAAATTAGATAGTCCCAGTCTGACTCTTGTGACATCAGCATTATTAGTATACGGAGGATGGCAAAACTTGTTTAAAAAGAAATATACTTTGTGCATTTCCTTAATAACTTTGTTTAATAACTAAGGGGCTGACATTACCCATATTGAAAAGCAGTAATCTATTCAAAACTGAAAATTTGTAAAAAAAATTATTTTCCATTTATTTCAAATTTTTTGGTTAAATTTTCTAAAATTCAGAAACACTAAACAATCAGATGTTCTGAAGATTCAATGTTACAGAACTCCTGATGATGGCCTATAAACTAGACCAGAAACATTAGTTTCAAAGCATATTGCTGTTTATGGTAATAGTTTATTCTTCAAACTAAATTACAGCTTAGTTAGCATATAATATGTTGCTTATCAAACATCTTTGTTTTGTAAATAAAATCTTCTAACATATGTAATATATGAAAAATGTATATGGCCTATTCTTTCAAGAGTTAAAATTAATTTTGCTTATATCTATGTAGTTATTTCATTCAATGATTTTGCCTGTATTACTTGATACTGTTCCTGTATTGGCAGTTACATATTACAATAAAACAAAAATTGTCCTTGCTTTATATCTTAGAAAAATGTTTATGTCATAATAAAATTCCAGCTTACATGTTGCATTTGGAATTTATGTTACTAGAATATTTGTAATAACAATAAAAACAATAATTTTATTGTTTTTATTGTATAGACTATAATGATAGATCCTCAGAGAATTTGTAATAACTGTAGTATGCAAGTGTATGAAACTGGAAACATATTCTTTCATTGTATAAAATTTGAAACAATCAGGAAAAAGTATTTGGTAAGATTTAAATTCTGGAAAAATATAACTAATTTATTGTGCTTTCAAAAAATGATTATTATTGTATATTTTATTTTGTATTATCTTCTATTAATCTTTTACATTAATTTGTAATGTTGTACTAATTCCAGATTTATGTAATACTTTAACTGCCTTGTAACAAACTAAGGTTGAAACAATAAAGAATTGAATATATGAAAAATACACATTTACACTCAGAGCCGTAAGTAGGCAGGTGCAACAGGTGCACCCGCACAGGGCCCACTTGAAAGGGGGGGCCCAAACTGCTGTTCACAAAAAATTATATTTTTAAATTTTTCCGCCTTTCTACAGAGCGGTTTGGCGATTACATTTCGCCTTACTTAGATCCTAGATGTCTGCTCACCAGTGTTCCCAACTGTGGCGACTTTTAGAGGGACGTAGTGAGGTAGCGGAGACCTCAGACAAATCAGCCAAAAGTAGCGACTTTTGAAATTTTTTAATTTATTTTTTGAGAAGTTTAAATTTATGTTTATAGTTTTCAAATTTACAGATTTTTCTCTACTTTATAGAGCTCTCTGGCAACTACTACTATTATTACGATATACAAAACTGTATTTCTAGATTTTTCTACAGTGTGCAGAGCTAGAAATCTGTAAAGGTAACATTCTGTAACAAAAATAAATCTGCTCGAGGATTTTTTTAAAATTACTAAATTGAAAACGGTAACTCTCGAATAAAATCTTAGTCTCGAGGTTGTAAAAGGCGTGCAGAAATTCTGACATAATTTTTTGCTTTGTAGTGGTACGCATATGTGGTGTATACCTGAACGGCGGATTAAGCGGTANTAAATCTCCCATCAGATATATTACTTTTACTAAACTTTCTTTCTAACTTATTGTCTTAAAACAGAAATTTTTCAATCAGGATCTGCAAGAGACATCAATAAATTACAACTTAATGGCTCCTTTCAATTTCAGATAACTATTTGATAGCATTTATATAAATAAATTTTAAATTTATTAATTAAAATTTAAATGTACAATGTACAAAGCAGTACAATGTACAGTACATGTAATACTTCAGAAAGAAGCACGTTACCCAATGGTTGAAACCTTAGCATTACATTACATTTTTGTAAGCACACAACCTCCTTGTAACGATTATATACATACTAATCCACGTAATTTGTGCACAACCCCTTCGGAAATTTTAAATAAATCCTTCGTGAATCAACATCTCAGTTAAATTTTGATGTAGACGGAATTTAGAATAAACTAAAACTTCTAATAAGAAATATTTATATTAATTCTGAAGACTTTGTTACAATAAATATTTCCAGTTATCTAATGCTATGGTATTGATATTCGAGAAACAAATCATCTCACTTTACACTTTTTAAATTGTAATTCCTTCTTTATAAAGAAAAAGGATTATAGAATATTACATTAACCAGAAAAAGAAATGTCTCAGGAATTTAAAACACGATCAGAATTTTTGATCAGATCAAGGAGTGTGGCTTCGCAACACAATGCCAAATCGCCAATCAATTGAGCGTATTGCTTCATGAAGTACAGGCGAATTTGCATTAGGGATCCTCGTGTACAGTGTTGACTTCAGACATTCTTCTTCGGAGGAATTTTTGGTGAAATATTTTCTTATAAAAGATTGGTTTGGGTCCTTCTGTTGATGGTGTCACCAGGCAATTGCCCTTTTTGCCTATAGGATAACAAACCTTTGGGGAAGAAAACTGGACCCTATTTAGTGTTAAACACGTGAAAAAATTGGAAAAACTCCACCCGGCCAGTCCGTCGTTCAGGTACGAACCCGCGACCGCTACCAGTGCATCTTATATTACACTTCTACGGTGATAGATGCATTTATTTTTGATTTCGACTGTAATATAGGTACTAGATGATAAGAAAAGCTAGGTATCTGAATTGTAAACAATTAATAATGAATAAAATGAAGTTTATAGTAAATCGTAGACGTTCTAAAGATAAAATTATTAATCACAGTGGGAGAATTCTAATCAACTACATCAAACACGAATCGTTATTCATTCTCGATATTGTCCTTGTATATCGTAATTACCATCAAACTTTATCTATTGCTTGCAATACGAATGTCTTCATTGATTATATTATTTTAATCAATACGTCTTAAATTTTATTTAAAGATTTTAGAGTTGAGCATTTTATTTCCTAAGGCAACCCTCATGTCTCTACTTCTATAAACATATTCATTCTTATCCTTCCAATAAATT